TTTTTTATTTGTTTTATTTTATTTTTTGTACAGATGGGGTCTTGCTATATTGCCCAGGCTGGTACCTAACTCTTGAGCTCAAGCAATCCTCTGGCCTAGGCCTCCTACAGTGCTGAGATTACGGGTGTGAGCTGTCCTGCCCTGCCTCAACCAAAATTTTATAGGCCTCATGCAAAAGAGTTCCAGAAATACTGAGCGCCTGGTATGTGTGATATTCTCTCTTAGGCTCCTGTAGTAGACTACGACCCTTATGGAGTTTAATACAGGGGAAGAGAGAAATAAAATACAGTAAGTGTATAAATTAGGATGTCCTAAGGACAGGCACAAACGAACCCCATAGGCTTAAAGAGGAAAGATTACATCCCCTGAAGGTGGAGTTCCAGGAGGAAGAGACATTCGACCTGACCGTAAAGGGTGGATGCAACACATACAGGCATGAAGGGGCCCATGCCAAATGCATAGTGCAGCAGGAGCAAAGGGACTAAGGTGGGAAGTTGGAAGACTAGCAAATGGGCCAGTTTGAAGGGAGCATAAAGTCAGGAGATGAGAATAGTAGGGTGGTGGGAAGGATAGGTTTTGAGGCCATTAAATATAAGTTGAAAAATGGGGCCCCACTTTGATAGGCCCAATAGTCCTTCAAAAGGGAAATATTGGTGGGTTTTGCTTTTCAACAAGAACTTAATATAACTAGTTGTGTTTTATAGAGATAAGCCTGGAAAGGGGGATTGGAATAGAGCAATGGTTCTCTGTACATTAGAATCTCTTGGAGGGCCAGTGTCTGGGTGGCACCACCAAAGATTCTGATTCAGCTGGTCTGAATCAGAATCTACAGCCACACGTGTAATCCCAGCACTGTTAGAGGCCTAAGCTGGAGGACTGCTTGAGCCCAGGAGTTAGCAACAGGCCTGGGCAGCATAGCAAGATCCCATCTCTACAAAATAAATAAATAAATAAACAAAATTTGAGTTGGTAATTTATAAACTATGGTGTCTACCTACCAGAGATTTTTCATTATAACTAAAATGTGATATGGAATAATGTACTGTTTGGCAAGGTGGCTTCAGGGTTCACAGGTAAACAAGGGAGTACATAATGTAAGAACAGTGGCTGACAGTAGCAGTGGTATTTTTTATTTTTAAAAACACTCCTAATAATTCTAATGAGCAGTCAAGGTTGAGAACTACTAGAATAGAGAGCGGACATGGGGAAGCTGGTTAAGGTCAGAGACGATAACAGGGACCCAAATTCTGGAACCCCAGGGATGAGGGAGAAGTCAAAAGTACTACCAGAGTTTGTGCCACAGCTCTACTGTCCCATGGTTGTAGTTTCATCTACTGATAAAGCAATGCAAAGAGGAAGAGTGTGGTGGCTGAGATGGCAGTGAGAGTTGAGGAAAGAATGCTCATGGGTAGGAAATGGACATGTTGACCTTAATTTTCATGTTAGGTAGTGCCCATTGTGCTCTACAGAACATTCATGAGTTGGATGACTTTGTATATGATCTGTCCTGCTCTCCGTTTCAAAGACAAGACCACCAAAATTTACAAGCTTATTATGTTGTCACTAATGTGTAAGCCACCAGTTTTTCTGCAAGTTGGAAGTTTTCTCAACAGTCAAATTTTTCCCCTTCTCACTAATCTTAAGGTTTCAAAGTTATAGCTGCAAATCAAAAAAAAAAAAAAAGAAAAAGTAAGTAAAACTTATTGACAGATGCACCGGATAGTTTCTTTACAGGTTTTTGTTTGGTTGGTTTTTGCTTTTCTTTGTTTTTTATTTTGAGACAAGGCCTTGCTCTGCTGCCCAAGCCAGAGTACAGTGGTACATCAAAGCTCACTACAGCCTCAAACTCCTAGGCACAAGCAGTCCTCCCTCCTTAGCCTCCTGAGTAGCTGGGACTACAGATGCGTACTACCATGCCCAGCTATTACTTTTATTTCTTGCAGAGACAGGGTCTCACTTTGTTGCCCAAGCTAATCTCAAACTCCTGGCCTCAAGTGATGCTCCCGCCTCGGCCTCCCAAAGTGATAGGATTATATGCATCAGCCACCACCCTCGGCCTACTTTACAATTTGATGCAACTTTTCTTTATGTGACTGTGATATACCTTATTGGGCAGTGACTTTATAAAGTGGTAACTTTATTGGATATGTGAAGCCCCAAATGGGCTGACGTGAGAATGTTGGGTGGCTGGATTTAGCAAAGAAAAATGTAGGTTACCCAGTTAACTTTGAATTTCAGATAGATAATTTTTTTTTAAGTGGTAATTTTTTACCATACTTTTAGCATAAGTGTGGAATTTGGGACATAATTATACTGAAATATCATTCATTGTTTATCTCAAATTAAAATTTAACTGGGTACCCTATATTTTATCATATGGTAGACTGCCTTCTGTTTACAGAATTCGGTGACCTTTAGAGTCTGTTTTAAAAAGGAGCATGTTCAGCCGGACACGGTGGCTCACGCCTGTAATCCCACACTTTGGGAGGCTGAGGCGGGCAGATCACTAGAGGTCAGGAGTTCAAAACCAGCCTGGCCAACATGGTGAAACCTGCCTCTAATAAAAATACAAAAATTAGCCAGGTGTGGTGGTGCATGCCTGTAATCCCAGCTACTTGGGAGGCTGAGTCAGGAGAATTGCTTGAACCCCAGAGGTAGAGGTTGCAGTGAGCCAAGATTGAGCCACTGAACTCCAGCCTGGACAACAGAGCAAGACTCCCTCAAAAAAAAAGAAAAAAAAAAAAGCAAGTTCCCACTTCCTCATAAGGAAAGGCTCTTCAGAGGAAGTTGAAGAGACAGAGGCTTTATGTTTGATTTTTTGCTTTAATCTGATACCTACTGTTTGATTATTCAATATTTAGAGATGGTGCTTTGGCAGTTTCTCTCCCCAGACAGACAGTTATTTCTCTCCCCAGTTTGCCCACTTCAATTTTTAGTATAAGGATGTCCCAGAAGGATAAATGTCATCAAAGCTGTCTTTCTTCTTCTAAACTGTAACTGGGATTCCACACCCTCTTTTTCCACCCCTCCCTAGTTGAGCAATAAAGGAGAAAATAACAGTATACAAATATTCCCAGGCCAGTTCCTGGTGTCAAGGTACGCAGCTGTGGATGAATCGTGAGGCTTGAGTGCATCAGAGACCTAAGCGTGGGCGGGAACCCCCAGAGTACCCATGTGAATGTTCTACTTGCTGCCTGGCACCTTTTATGACAATTCCCACAAGAAGCTCTGTGGTCTGTTTCTACTTCTGAAGCAGCAGTCTTTTTTTTTTTTTTTTTTTTTAAACCACCATCCTTTAAATCATTTATTAGGTGACTCTTGTGTGCTGGTCAGTGTGTCAAAAGTGTAAAAACTTCTTTATTTTTTTTTTAATCTATCTTTAAATTTTTTTTTTTTCTTCAAGGCAGGATCTTGCTCTCTCTCCCAGGCTGGAATGCAGCAGCACAATCATAGCTCATTGTAACCTGGAACACCTGGGCTCAAGTGATCCTCCCACCTCAGCCTCCTAAGCAGTGAGGACTATAGACATGCACCACCACACCTGGCTATTTAAAAAAACACGGCTGGGCACGGTGGCTCATTACCGTAATCCCAGCACTTTGGGAGGCTGAGGTGGGCGGATCACCTGAGGTTGGGAGTTCAAGACCAGCCTGACCAACATGGTGAAACCCCATCTCTACTAAAAATACAAAATTAGCTGGGCATGGTGGCACATGCCTGTAATCCCAGCTACTCAGGAGGCTGAGGCGGGAAAATCGCTTGAACCCGGGAGGTGGAAGTTGCAATGAGCCATTGCACTCCAGCCTGGCGACAGAGTGAGACTCTGTCTCAAAAAAACAAAAAATACATTTTTTTTGTAGAGACGGGGTTCTTGCTGAGTTGCCCAGGCTGATCTCAAACTTCTAGCCGCAAGTGATCCTCCCGCCTCAACTTCCCAAAGCACTGGGATTATGGGTGTGAGCTACTGAGCCCTGCCAAATTTCTTTATATTAAACCAAAATATACATTTACTGACATTTGGACAGAAAGCTCTTTTACTTTTATGCCTTCATCCAGTCTTCATAGATATCTTCCCCTCTACATTATAACTGTAAATACTGAGGTTAGAGAGGTTAACTAGTTAGTTCAACAGAATAATATAATTATTCAATAATATAATTAATGAATGATTAGTGCTGAACCTGTCCCCTCAGCCAGGTCTCTTGATTCCAAATAAGTTGACCCCAGCTCCCCACAGTCTTCTAGCTTCTCTGCCAGTGGAGCAAATTTTCCCTAGGTTTACAGGCCTAAGCACAAATTCCTAGTAACTTAGTGCAAGTATTGCCAGAGTTCAAGGGGTGAATTCCAAAGGGTTTTTACAAGGCTATACATAAAAGATAAAGCCCTGGCTTCTATATCACTTGCACATAGGAGATAAAGCCCCAGCAGTTGTGTGTAAATTCAAAACCAGAGAAGTATGGCACAAAGAAACTCCTGATAGTAACACTGTGTTCCCACTTTGCTCAGGGGCATGTTGGCACCATAGCATGGTGCACCCTTACTGCTACCTGCTGTGAGACCAGATAATAGCTAGCAGCCCCTGGTCTCATTCTCCTCTGGAAGGGTACTGCTGTTTCCTGAATGAAAGAAACTGAGATTGATTTCATGCTAATGACTGTTAGTTAAGAGTTCATGCTTTGTGAACAGGTAGCCTGAGTTCATTCATAGCTCTACTATTTACCTGAAAACTTGGACTGATTATTTCACTTTTCTGTGCCCTGGTGTTCTAATCTGTAGGATGGGGAACTACCTGCTCCACAGTGGGACTATGAGAATGCTTGAAACAATGCCAGGCACACAGTCAGCTCAATAAATGTCATCTATGAAGACAATGAAATTCAAGCAAAATTCCTTAAACCTTTGTGCCATACATCCTTTTGGCAGTCTAGTGAAGCCTTCATTCCTTCTCAGCATCATGTTTTTAAATGAGTAAAATAAAATATGTACGATTACAAAGGAAACCAATTATACTTAAGTACTGCTACCAAACTATTTTAAAATCTATGATATAATATGCTTTTTTAATTAAACCCTTAAATGGATCTAGAGGTAGGTAAATGTCTAACAGATATTTTGAAGTAGCTATGAATGTAAATAGCACTTTGAGCTATCTACAACTGAAATGCGATAGAAAAGTATCTGTAATTTCTATTAGTGACAGAGTCACAAATACTACTAATAGTATTGTGGTTTGTTGTGTACACTCATCATCAAAGGAAATACTCAATTTGAATTAGAGGTTTAAATAAAGATGTATTTTTCCCCCATCCAAGTTCATGGATCCCTGAATTCTACTCATGGATTCCTTGGTCACTGGACTCCATAGGGGTCACTTGGGGAATGATTGTGACACCAATGAAGGAAGCCAGCAGATACTGTTTCCTGTATTTTACCTACCATAGGTTTGTGATGAAGAAATAATTAATAAATAACTGTAATGAAGAAGAAAAGAAAGAAAAACAAAAGGAACCTAAAATAGAGAAGGCAAATAGCTTTCCTTTTGAGTGTCAGTTTTAACAGACTCCCTGTGGTTGCGAAACAGTGTGTCTGAGGCTGGCTCTGGGTTAAATGGAGAGTGCTGCTATTGATTAGTGACGCCTGCCTGACAGCAGAATGGCAATAGCCATGCATCTCTGACCTAGCACAGTCATAAGCATGTTATAGACATAAAAGTGTTAGGGAATAAATAGGCTCTGGCCGAAGTAGAGTGTTCCTCCTCTCATATCGTCACTTATATGTGTTTACACCATTTATGTCGTGCTTTTTTACATGAATACTTTTAGGCTTATTAATCTAATCCGAAAAGGTTTGTATAGCTTTCTCTATATTGAGAGAAATATGTGTATTTCTTAAATACACAAACTTCTTAAATCTGATGCCAGTGAGGCTTGCTTCCAGCCACAAGTAACATACATCAGATTAATGGTAGTTCATTTGAAGAGGGATTTATTTTCCTCATGTGACAAACACCTCTGTAGGTGACCCAGTATAGAGCTTGCTCGTTGAGCCAGTGATTATATCAAGGAACTGGGTTCTTCATATATTTTCATTATTTGATCTCTCCCTATTGACTTTATAGCTGTATCTTTCTCAAGGATGCAGAATGGCTACTGCAGTCTCAAGCACTACATGTGTGTTTAAATCATGAAGAAAGGAGACAGAGTGATGCCAGCTAGCTGTCTTCTCATGACTCTCCTTTGTATCCAGAACACAGTATCTTTCCCCAAAACCTGGGTCATATGATTACATCTCAATACAGGGGAGTCTGAGAAAGCAAATATTTGCTTTGCCCACCACTACAATGGAAGCAGCAAGGGAGAAAGAAAGGGGGGTGGGAATGGCGTTAATTTTGTCAGCCACTACGGTCTGCCACCCAGAAAACAGAAGTCCACTAACAAGCAGGGAACTGATTGTTCTGCCAGGGAAAACGTCTGGCAGTTTCCAACTGAAGAAATTTGGAAGTCTTAATGGTCCAGGAAGGATAGAGGCAAAACCCCCATTTTCTTTTATCAAAAAGGAAAGCCAAGAAAAAAATCAGTTAAGTGGAAGTTATGCACAACCCTTATGTAACTCCTCCATGTTAATAGCAGGTAGGCTGCATATCAAAACATGATATTGTACAAGAAAACTAGTTGAAAAAGATTGCCCTATTTAGCATCAATTATTTATGCAAACCTAAGTTGACTCTGAAACCGGAAGCCCATATTAAACTTTCCAATCACATCGGAATGTGTTACTTTGAACAGATTGTATTTAATCCAAAGAGATTATCTTTGAAAAAGGTAGATGGTAAACGTCGTTATTCCTATTTTTGTATAGTCAAATAGGCATAGTAGTAAGTTGTGTAAAATTGACATCCAAACCAATGCTTGATACTAAAACTTAGTGTACAAACAGCAGTTATAACCTATTGCTTTGTAGCTGCATCTGTTTCTGGAGTCATATAACATTAGTAGAATCTTGGAGGTGTTTTAGGCTCATGCTTATTTTATCCATAAAGAAGACTGACACCTATAGAGATTAACTGACCTGCCAAGGGTCATGGCAATTTCACTGCTAAGACAAGAACACAGATCCTTTTACTTCTTTCTGAGAAAAGTACAGAGTAGTTTAAAGCAAAAACTCCCCTGCTTCCAGCACTTCTGGCTAAGTTGAGCCTTGGGAAAATTGTTTTGTCTGATTCAGTTTTTTCATCTTTAAAACTGGAATAATGCTACCTAATTTATAGGGTTGTTTGAAGAATTAAATGAATTTATAGGGTTGTTTGAAGAATTAAATGAATGCATGGAGGTAAATCACTTAGAACAGCGGTAAATTATATGTGTTTTGTTATTTATTTCCTTTGACTACCCATGATTATCACGAGTGTCATTGTCATCATCACAATTAAGATTACTACCACATTAGGCTACATAAACTTTTTTTTCTCTCTCTCTTTGTTTTATAATTTCGATTTTTTTTTTTTAGATTCAAGGGGTACCTGTGCAGGTTTTACATGGGTATATTGTGTGATGCTGAGGTTTGGGGAACATGATGCCGTCACCCAGGTAGTGAGCATAGTACCCTATAGTTTTTCAGCCCTTGTCCACTCCCCTCCCTTCCCCTTCTAGTAGTCCCCAGTGTCTACCATCATCATCTTTATGTCCATGTGCACCATTGTTTAGCTCCCAGTTAAAGTGAGAACATGTAGTATTTGGTTTTTTAGTTTATTTTTCCTCTCTTGAATCACTTCTGTGACACGTAGGGGTGAGATTTATTGTATTTTTTAATGCTTTATTTAAAAATTTGTATTATTTAATACATTTAATGCATCATATTTTTATTATATTTAAATATTGATTTATTTATACTTTTTGCCTTATTGCTATATTGTTTCGAAAGATTTAATATTATTTAAGTTACATGATTTCAAATACATACTGATTAACATTTTAATTAGAAACTTTGTGTATGATATGAATTGCCAAAATGTGTAGTTGGTACAAACTATGAGTAGTTCTGAGTTATCTAGAAGAAACCGGTAGCCTGCGCCATACTCTAGAAGCCTTCCCCAGTGTCTAGACCTCAGAAACTGTCAGGGATATGCACAGGAGGAGAACACACGGCAAATAGCTATTTTGTCTCTTAAATGTATGGTATGTGGGAACCACTGAAAAATGTGAAGTTTCTATAAGGTGCTATTTTTATTGTTTATGGCTCTAGAGAACAGAGAAGGTGAAAAAATGTGAGAGGAGAAGGGAAAGCCAATAGTATGTGGCGTTCAAAACCAAAGATCCCACAGGTGTTGCCCCAAACTGCTTCCTGACCCTTTAGAGTGGAGAGGGAGGGGGAAGATATCCTATTAGAGTTCAACATTCTCTTATTATTTCCTCCTTTTAATTTTCTGGATATACAACACTTTTGCTAAAGTAGTTACAAAACCAGTTGGTGTTCTCCATCCTTCCTACTCCAGTAAATGCTGTCATGGATGGGTACACTAAAATCTCAGAATTCACTGCTATATCACTCATCCATGTAACCAAAAACCACTTGTACCCCCAAAAACTATAGAAATAAGATAAACAAATTCTTATTTAAAAAAATACTGTGATAGGGATGCTACCTTCTCTTTTTTGTTAGTTAACTATTTGTGGGATGTCTTTGGTGTGTCAGGCTCTGAGCAATGCCATTTTCTCTTGGCTTCTTTGCAGTCTCTGTGTGAGGCTTAGAGTCATTTTTCATTGTTTGACTCTTCAGAAGGAAGACAGGGCTTCTGGTTCTACATCTGGAACTCTTTTCCCACAACACCAACACTGTGAGAAATGTGAGCTGGTGCTGTGTTTACATTTGGATAGGAACTTGCATTATAAGGTTTATTGGTTGAGTTATTGGCTTTAAAATTTAAAAAAACCCGTATCAGTATATAGAACTTTGCAATAGGCTTTTTTGTTTTAACTTCATTTCTGGTGCAGTTTTATGTTCCTACCCTTGTTTTTCTATTTTCTCTTTCATCTGCTTTAGACTTAAAACGCTGTGTTTTATGTATTGCTGCAAGCCTCTTTAAACCCTTTCTAAAACAAAGCAGGGAATACCTAAACAAATATATATATGTATTTTTTTGTAACAGAAATCGACTTAAAGCCTCAAGAGAAGTAGAATCTGTAGACCTTCCAAACTGCCACCTGATTAAAGGAATTGGTATGTATGTGAAAATGCTTGTTGGGAACATTGCATTTTTTGGCCATTAACATTAAAACACTCATTAATGGTATTTTAGCATGAAATTACTGTTTTCCAGTGGATAAATCACATTGGATCAACAAAAAACTCTTTGGTCAACCTCTTGATCTCATGCACCCTCTATTCTTCTTTTCTACCGTCACTGTAAATTATTCTTTTTTGTGTGTAATTCTATGTTTAGCATTTGATTTCTTGCTTGTTTTGTGACTTCTCTGAACTATTTTGTCAAGTCTGTATTGTTTGTCAGGTATGGCCGCTGCAGTCTGTGTTCTGTGAGCCTCGTGATCAGCTAGTGAAGGAAGCTTTATGTAGGCAGTGACAGCGTTTACCCTGCTCACTACTCTGTAACTAGGATCTTATCTTATGGCTAACATGTAACTGACCAATATGGTTTGGCTGTGTCGCCACCCAAATCTCATCTTGAACTGTAGTTCCCATAATCCCCATGTGTTGTGGGAGGGACCTAGTGAGAGGTCATTGAATCATGAGGTGGTTACCCTGTGCTACTGTTCTCGTGGTAATGAGCGAGTTCTCATGAGATCTGATGGTTTTATAAGGGGCTTTTCCCTCCTTTTGCTCGGCACTTCTCCTTGCTGCTGCCATATGAAGAAGGGTGTGTTTTCTTCACCTTCCACCAGGATTGTAAGTTTCCTGAGGCCTCCCCAGCCACAGGGAACTGTGAGTCAATTAAACCTCTTTCCTTTGTAAATTACCCAGTCTCAGGTATGTCTTTATTAGCAGCGTGAGAACAGACTAATGTACCAGCACGTCACAATATGTATTGTAAAAACTTGTGTTTATTTTTTCTTCTAAGCTGTCACTGCAGAGGGGGAGAGTCTCCCTCTTCCCTTGACTTTATGTAGGATGTATTGTGGAACCTGAGTCTTTGAGGAGGGGCTCCTAAGAGCAAGCCCTAGTTTTGCTATAGATAAGGAGGGATCTGTCCAGATTCTTCTCCAGCACTGAGGGTCTCTCTGGCGTGTTTACAGTTTTTCTCCAAAGTAGAGTCCGTGTCTTGCGGTCTTTTACCCTTTGTCATCTACTAAGTACATATCCCTAGTACATAATAGACTCATAGTAACTGTTTTTAAATTATCAATGAACAGTAAATATTGGCTTTCCTTTTTTTAAAATTTTCTTTTTTTTTTTGATAGGTGGCCTCACTCTGTCACCTAGGCCGGAACGCAGTAGTGCAATCTTAGCTCACTGCAGCCCTCACCTCCTGAGCTCAAGCAATCCTCCCACCTCATCCTCCTGGGTAGCTGAGACTACAGGCACATGCCACCACTCATGGCTATTTTTTTATTTTTGTAGAGACAGAGTCTTCCTATGTTGTCCAGGCTGGTCTTGAACTCCTGGCCTCAAGCAATCCTCCCAACTTGGTCTCCCAAAGTGCTGGGATTACAAGCATGAGGCACTGAGCCCAGCCAATATTGGCTTTCCTTAGATATGGTTCATGGTATGATTAGAAACAAAAAGAATTAGAAGTCAAAATATCTAGTTTCTAGTTCTATTCTGCCACAATGTGACCTTAGGCAAAGTTGGCTTTTGTATTTGTCACCTATAATGATGAGTTTGTGATTAGACTGAAGGTTTTAGACTTTAAAAAGCCTGGGACCATTTATTTATAATCTTACTCTGAGAGCCACAGTGTGGAAATAACTACACTGTCATTGGGTCCCTTCTAGTCCTTTATAACAACATCCTTCTCTAGAGGTAGGAGAGACAACTTAATATTTTGTTTTATTCTTTAGAAATTAAAACTCAGGTTACATGGCAATGTTCTCCTCTCGGAATAGGTAACATTGTTAAACAAGTTTTGAGTGTCCTTCCATCTTTTTCTGTCTTTTTATGAATACTCCTATACATAATTTTTAAAAATATAAATGGGGTCAAATTATGCATAATATTTCAAAACTAGCTTTTTGTCTTTCCTGATAGTTTCAGTCCATATGCAAACAAATATATTGACTTTTTTTCACAAATAGAATTTTAGTGTAAATATTTCACAACCTGCTTCATTCCTAAAACAGTGTGAGCAGCTTTCCACATCAGCATATATACTTTGTTCTTTTTAATATTTTCACATTCCATGATTTATTTAACCAGTCCCCTTTTAATGTACATTTGGGTGGTTACAGTTTTTTGCAACTATGAACAGATCAGTGAACATCATTGCTATTGCATTTGTTTATCTGTAGAATACATCCTTAACAATGGGATTGTTGTTCCCTTAGGATATGTGTTTAAAGTTTTGACAGTCATTGCTAAATTGCTCTCAAGTTGGCAACAGTAATAAACTCGGTATCTCATAGTTGTAACCACATTCACTACAGACAGGGTTCTCATCGGTCTTTTAGTAAAAGCAAACCATCACTTGACAGTGCAACCTTCAGAGTTTCTCTGCTAATCCCTTGCTTGCCTCGCTTGTTTTCTTCTTTTAAATCAGCTTCCTCAGGTTGCTCTGCCTCTCATTCCTTAGGCATCTGTTTCCTATGTGTTCTTTCTCCTTTTTTTCATTGATACTTTTGTGTTTCCCCGGTTCCACCTCCCATCCCCTAGACTGGCTGGCTGTCCTGGAATTTCCCTTCTTTCTTTCAATTGCCCAAACACTTAATGGGAGGAGGCAAACTCATAACAGATAGCAGATTGACAACATCTGTGCTGGATCCTGCAGACAGTTCAAGAGTCCCAAGTAACTTAGCAGCTTCATCTTGCCTTCCAGCTGCAATCAGGAGGAGACCTCTCAGAACTGGTCACTCAGCAAAAGCCAGATGGCATTAGTAAAAGATGTTGGGCAAGGGTGGGAGGTTGGGCCAGTGATCTCTTAGGTTACTTTTGCTGCTGAGTTAATAATTGTCACATTATTAAACAGCCCTTGGCCCTGGGAAGCCCACCTTCTGTGAATACAAGTCTCAGAGTAGACAATAGGGCACAACCAGCCATGTTACATGACAGACTGCCAAGTGCATTCTTCTTACAACTCACTGGGATGGAGCACTCCTCAGAGAAAAACAAGCCCAGCAACATTTGTATTCTGAACAGGCATCTGTCTATGTTTGTGACCTTTATGTTGTGATGTGTGTGAGCTGCTGTCTGGAATTGGAAAGAATGAGGAAATATGTCACCTATGGCCCCTCTTGTGAAGTGTTAAATGCCTCTGAGGCACTTCAGAAGGCAACAGAGCGGAGAGGATGAGTGATTAGAAGCACATTTGGGATACATTTTTAGATCTAATTAGAATTGTGCCTTTTTTTTTTTTTTTTTTTTTTTTTTTTGCTTTTTTGCTTTTGCCCTGTGGTTAGCACACACCATATGAACATTTGTCAAACGCTATGTTAGTGATGCATAATGGTTAATAATAACTTGTGGTTATATATCTTTAACAACAGTTACTTATTCACAAGTCTTTGACAGTAAGGAATAACAATGTGCTGGACACACGTTTCTATACAGGCAAAAGCAACTTTTTATGATAGAGAGGGCTGTTTCTTATTTTCTGTTTTGAAAACAGTAGTAGCTATGCACTTGAGGTCAACTAATCCCTCTAAGAGGAGAACCCTCCTTCCCCCTTGCCCTTGATTCCCGTCAACACACACGTACATACGCACACACTACAGTGCTTCAGTCACCATCACTGGAAGTGAACTATGTGCAGCTTTTGGGTGCTTTATATATATCGTATCATATTGTGTCTGTTTTAATAAATCATAGTTATTGACTACACATCGTACAGGATGTGTGCCTTCTGTGGGGCAGAAAGTAAATTCACTATTTAGTCCTTTTTAAAAATTCCTTCCCAGTGTATCTTACAGACAGAAACTAAGCTTTTATACACCCAAGATTTGCCAGATTAACACCTGCATATTAAAAATTAAAATGTCAAGAGCTAGTTTATTTGAGGCTTAAAAGTTAAAAAAATCTTATTTTCTAAATGTCTGGCCTTCAAAATTTGAATGGACTGTCTTTTTCAAGATAACTAACAATTTTATGCACTTGGCAATCAAGACCTTTACAATAACTGCTGCTTGGGAGATTGGGGGGAAAAAAGCATTAAAGTCTGTAACCCTTATAATCAAATACTTTACAGTCTACTGATGGGAGAAAAGGAAAACAAAACAAAACAAAACAAAAAACCACTGTGAGATATAGATACGTCTTTTCTTTTTCTAACAGATAAGGACCTGAGGCTCAAGGAGGTTAAGCAACTTTTGCAAATTCACTTTCCAATATAGTGTCTTTTCCCACGGTGGTTAATATATATAGTTGATGAGTGAACCAGAAAAGTAGAAAATAATACATTACATTACATATGGGATACTCTATTGGGTATAGTAAAGGATGAGTTGCTGTTACAAAATTATAGTGGCTTAGAAAATAGATAAGTTTATTTTTATTTTTCTCCCATCAGCCTTAAGGTAAGCGAATGGCCTAGGGTAGTTGGGTGACTGTGTTCCATGTGGTCATTCAGGGGCAAATGCTGATGAAGCAACACTGCTATCTTCGTCTAAGACTAGAACTCTGCTTGTTGCCATTTCCCAGCAGGAAGGGGTAGAAATAAAATTTATATAGATTTTTTTTCTACCCAGTAGTTGCATATATATTGTATTCTCACATCCTATTGACCAAAACTTAGACATATGGCCACATCTGTCAGCCAGAAAGGGTGGGATATGTTATCTATAGCTATGTTGCTACGTGTCTATTGCTAAAAAGGCTAAAAAAGAAGAAGGGGAACATGGATGCTGGTGAACACTTGGCCACCTCTGACACAGATAATTGCTAAAGTAATAAGACACTGAAACTAAATGTGATAAGCTAGGAAACTTTCTAAAGAAAGGGTTTGGCGTGCTGCGCTGTGCCATTCGTGGGTTTTTGCTCATGCTGTTCCTTGTGCCTGGAATTTCTCCCCCTAATTCCCCTGAGCAGTGGATGCAGTGGATGCCCTTCCCACATCCCCCCAGCTTCCCTGAGTGTTGGCTACCAAAAGCTCTCAGTGCACCCAGGGAGCTAAGTCCCCTGCCCACAGGCAATAACAGACTGACATGGGGTAGATTAAAAGAAATAAGAGACACATCCATCAATTGAAATGTGTGGGACCTTACCTGGACTCTGAATTAAACAAACTGTAAATTTTTTAAAGCTACACCTTTTAAAAATGATTGGCTATTTGAACACTAACTAGATTTCTGATGATATTGAGGAATTATTGTGAATTTTTAGGTGTAATAATGATATTGTGGTTTGTATAAATATATTTAGGGATGATGCAATGCCTGGGATTTGCTTTAAATAACACAGGATGAGGATAAGTGGTAAGACTGCAAGGGAAACAAGACTGGCCATGAGCTAATAACTGTTGAAGGTGGGTACTGGGTATATAAGAGTTCACCACACCATTCTCTCTATTTGTGTCTATTTCCCATAATAAAAAGTTTAAAGAGAGAGAACCAATGAAGGGGAGGGAGAGAGTCAAGCACACAATAAGAGTGACAAACAGTGCCAAATCAGTCCACATTAAGTTTTTACATATTTACATAAATATCAACTGGAATGCAATGTTGAAATTAATGTATATCACTAGAATAAAAAAGTAAAGATTTATTAAGTGTGTTTTGAAATAAAGTAATTTGAAATACGAAAAAGAAAGAAAAGGTTTTGAAAGAGGTTTTAAAGAAAAGTGCAGGATATTCATTGGTACAGATGTTGGTGAGAGGCATGGAAGCAAAACTTTAGGGGAAAAAGACAACATATGGAATTGACACAATTGAATTTACGAGGAAGTGGCTTTACAGAGGAATCAGGGGATGTTTCTGACAGAGGAAATTCAGTAAATTCTAGCTTGACTATTTTGTTTGCTTTTAAGTCAGACCAAAGGCTTTGAGTTCCAGCTTCCCAGTTTGTGACCTTGAGCAATTGCTTAACTTTTCCAAAGCCTCCATAGTCTTACTCTAAAACAAAAGATAATCATACTGGCTCTTAGTATTATGAAATCATATGAGATATTGTATGCAGGGTATTTACAAGGAGCCTGGTACTTGGTGTACCTAAGTATGATAGTTATTATCATTAAATTAGAGGAGCAAAAATTTCTCTAGCATTGACTGCTCTTGACGTAATCACAAAAAATTGGGGATATGCAGTGATAAAACGTTCCTGCAGTAGTGGCTATAGAAATGATGACAGGGGAGCAGATCTGGAAAATATTCCAAAGCAGGCTACAGATGGAGACATTTTTTTCCATTGGAATTAGACAATGGAGTTAAACAGAAGTTACAATATGGTTGAAATAAATGTATTTCTTTTAAAAAAAGATTTCTCTTTCCTTAATTATTAAAAAATATAAAATTTTGTAGAAAACTTTAAACAAAGGATAAAGAAAAATAAAAATAATTCGTAATCCTATCACCCAAAGAAGCATAGTTAATTTTTTCTATATATCCTTTCTTTTTCCATGTGTGTAAGCATTGTATACATGGAAATTAAATTTTTAAAAATAATTTTCAGGAAAAACAAATTTTAATTAATTGAGCTTCTACTAAATAGCACTGAAAAGCAAAACCTGGACTAGAATTCTCTGTGTGTGTGCATGTGCGTATGCATGTGTGTGTGTGTGTGTGTGTGTGTACATGCGTATGTGCTGTGTATACATGTGTATGTAGTGTAGTGTTCCCCTGATTCTTATTATCGGTGGACAACCACTGTGGAACTAGAGTCTAGCTGTTCTGAACCTTTTTGGGGGAATCACAGTCTCTTTTTTGAATCTGATGAAAATCAGGGACCCTTTTAACAGAAACATTCTCATGTGTGCATACATGAGACATTTTGCGTTGCATAGAATTTCAGAGGGTTCACAGATGCTTTGAAGCCCAAAAGGGATCCACAGACCCCAGATTGAGAACCCCTCCACTATGCCATGCTTAAGCTTATTTCTATGTATCTTCTTTGTGAGGAGCAGGGAGATGGGTCATCTTTACAATGTGAAGTTCTTGGCATTTTTATTTTGTTTTGCTTTTCTGCACTACGATGGAGCAAGCAACACTGGAGGCAACTGGCTAAATGCAAACCCACGAAGCAAGACCAAAATGGCTGGATAGATAGATGCTGTTTGGTTTTGACAACCTAGAAATAATCTTGAAGAAATCCTATGGAGAAGTCTGAAAGAGGAAGATTGGATTTTGTAGACTCAAAGAGTGTGTCATGGTTTGGCTTAATCTAGGCCATTTTTATTCTTCTTTTCTTGTGTTTGGGTCTGTTATCTGTCTGTAGAATTTATACAGTGAGACTGCTGGGAAAGTCTTATGTCTAATTATTTGCTGTGCTGTGTGGAGTGTACTGCAGACAATCAATAAACAATCAATAGTAATTGTAGCCTGCCTCAGAGACAGTAGTGAGAAGCTTCAACTGGCTTAGGTGCATGGTATTTTTCATTAATTTTCTTCTGCTAGTTTTTTCTGTAAAGCCTAAATTTAAAGATTAAATAGAAAAGCTTTCTTTGCTTATGAGAACAAGTAGGCACTGTTTTTAAAAGAAGGAATATATAATCCCAGGTGTTTTACCTCTGTTAATGAGAAAGATGTCTGTTTGCTTCAGATTGAATGAGCAAAGAAGAGGACAAGGATATTTGCATGGTTAAATGCCTATGAGCCCTTCCTTCAGAAAGTAATATTCCCCTGATGTCAATTACTTTTATACGGACATCTGGATGTTTATCATAAGAGTGTACAGATGTCAACTTTTTCTGTATTATAGCTGGAAATGTGGTGATAACTTGACTTTGATTTGAGTAAACATAAAATATCTAACATTTAAAGTCAGAAGTTCACTTCAGGAAGGGGTTTAAACTGACATTTATTAAAAAGAATGGTTCCTTGGAAAAAACATCAGAACCATCCCTAAAGATACAGTCACTCTGATAAAGTAAACAAAGTCCCAGTTATGCTCTATGTAACAAATAACAGAACTTGAACATGACATTTATCTGTTCCTTAAACCTACAGAAGCTGGCTCTGAAGATATTGACATACTTCCCAATGGTCTGGCTTTCTTTAGTGCGGTGAGTGTCTTCTTCCTTCCCCAAATTCAGCAGAGGGGATACAAGGGGATTTGATGAGGGCTGCAGAACAGTAACTTGCTTTTAAAATTCATTTTCCAAGATGCATTCTGAAGAAAAGAGAGGTCAAACAGGATCTTGGAAAACTTCCTCCAGCTTTTCTAAATGTAGAGATGAAGACTCTTTGCCCATTGAGATAGTGTTCTTTATTTCCCCCACTGCATTGCACTAAAATATTCCAACGCAATCTGTGTTTTGTTTTCTTTTTCCTTTTTAAAATTTTTTTATTTTTCGAGACAGAGTCTTGTTCTGATTGCCCAGGCTGGAGTGCAGTGGCACGATCTCGGCTCAATGCAACCTCTGCCTCCCGGGTTCAAGCAGTTCTTTTGCCTCAGCCTCCCGAGTAGCTGGGATTACAGGCACCTGCCACCATGCCCGGCTAATTTTTGTATTTTTAGTAGAGATAGGGTTTCACCATGTTGGCCAGGCTGGTCTCCAACATCTGACCTCAGGTGATCCACCCGCCTCAGCCTCCCAAAGTGCTGGCATTACAGGAGTGAGCCACCATGCCCAGCGCAATCTGTGTTTTAAATGTGCGTTATTAAAAGGGATATTTGAGGTCTTACTGTGGATACTCAATACTAACATTATACTATTTTAAATACAGCATCTACTCATCTTTCTATTACATATTCAACTTGAAGCAAATATTCTTGCCATTATTATTTATTTTCAAATATTATACCAACCTTGCCCTTTTGCTTTCTTTCTTTTTTTCCCCTGAACAGTCAATCATAGGTGGAAAGTCACTAAGTTTATTTACACCCTTCACTTTGCCTTGATTCTTGTAAGCTGAAAAACAATATCCTTTCTGGGTATACAATAGAAAGACTTTAAAATTGGCTTGTGAATATTGCTGTGAATATTGTTGAAACTAGCTTGTAACAATATCCATTCTAATTGGGAATCCAGATAGGGGGACAGATGAGGAGGTTCTGACCACCTACCTCCCTGGCTTGGGCAGACATAGGAGTTCTTGGCATCTTCACAGGTCCAGTTTTTCTGGAGGAAGAAGTAACCAACTCTGAAGCCTGACTGTAATTATTCTACTTCCTCTCAACATCCATTATTTTCAGGCTCTGAGACTCAAGAGGGATGTGAAAAACTGGGAGATACTTAGAAGGGAGTCACCACACTAATAAAATAGTTGTTAGACTTATGAGAAAGGTGAGAGAACTCAGCTTGGAGTAGAATGAGAATTAGAACACTCTTCAGGTTCCCGATGGTTTTTATATGAAAGACTGTGAGCAGCTGGTTATTACCACTGAGGGAATAAAGAAGTACTGTGGGCTTTAGCAGAAACACCAATATATATATTTAATTTTAAAAATAAGATTTTAAAAGGAAGATTTTATTTAATTGCCCACACAGAATGAATAAAGTGATATTTATAGTAGGACTCTGGGTCTGTTTAGGAGCACATGCTTGCACATGTGTATATAGGCTTAGGAAAAAGCACTGGGACCACTGGTCCCAAATATTCATAAGTAAAGATGCAAAAATTCTGAATAAAATAGAAGGCAGTTGCATTGATTTTTTAATTTGTTAGTTTATTTGTGTTTTTTGTGGTTGTTTTGCAAGGATGTGTTCTTGGAGAGTTTTATAATCTAGAATTCACCTATTTCAAGATTTCTCTCTGGCCCCCTTAGTAATAAATCTGAAGTAGGAGGGATGAGGTCTCCAAGCACATAAATCTACAGCCATTTTAGCTTGGGGGCGTATTATAGTTACAAAGATCTTATGGCCACTTCAATAGAATTTCCTTCCCCAAATTCAGCAGAGGAGATACAAGGGGATTTGATGAGGGCTGCAGAACAGTAACTTGCTTTTAAAATTCATTTTCCAAGATGCATT